ACGAGATTAAACTAGGGAGTGTTCACTTCGTGACGCCGTGGCGCTTTCCAAGGAGACGGTGCCGATCCCTGAATCAAAACCGAAGAGACGCCTCAGTACTAGGGTGACCACGAGCTCAAACGGTTCAATATTGTTGTTCAAAGAGTGTTCAATCGAACGTGTGTTTAACATGGCATCGAGCATCAACTGCATTTTCGCCCTCGTGGCATTAGCAGTTGTAATTCAAACCGGTAAGTGAAATTACACCTAAATAATTGTACATTATTTTTTTCGCATTAAAATAGTCAACTTGACTCTGAGTTGAGTCAATTTGAGTCATCTGAGTCATTGATTTAAATTAGAACACGCCGGACTGGAATTAATTTTTGTGGAAATTCATTTCAAGTTAAATTCATTTTCGCTTGACTCAAGTCTCATCAAGTCCTGATTTGATTCAATTCATTCAGCTCATGTTTTGCTTCAACAAATATCTGGTTTCCCGCGCCCTTTCAAAACTCCGCGCAAGTGCGATTCGCGGGAATTGCAACCGCGGGGATTTTATGAAAATTAGGAATTTTAGTGATTGATGGAAACTTCCTCGTTAGAGTCTAAAAATAACGGGTGTGGGTTTCGTCTGCGGGTCCCCTATCGCGACTGATCATCAATCCTCGAGGCAATTGTGGATATGATTTCCAGAGGGTGGAGAATCCCAACATTCATTTTTTTAATGAGCAAAAACATCAATTACCGCCTATCTCTCCTGTCTTCCCTCAAAAATCCATATTCCGTCGAGTTTTCACAAAATATCTCCAGATCTAACATAGATAGCGAAATCCCCCCGAGACCTTTTTTGTAGCTCTTAATTACCCCTACAAAAAAGGTCCCAATAAAAATATCGATATCAGCCTTGCATCCCGAGATATTCATTCAATAATAAACAAAAGCACCAAAAATCGACTTCTCGGAATCTCGCGATTTCTCCCCTTTAAATTTCCCCTCTCCCGCGAATTTCACCCGTCAAAAAAAAAATCCGAAATCCAGCGCAAGGACGAGAGTGTTGAAAATCACTTCCGAGAGTTCTCCATTGAAAAATTCCTGTAAAAAATCCGACAAGTTGTTTAAAACGGCGGAAAAAAACAGAGACTGACTCACCTCTCACGTTTTCACAACAAATCAACGTAGTAATAGTTGGTTCAAGTACAATCGCCATTATAACACCAACAGTATATTTGAGGCGTAGCTAAAGCACCTGAAGCGTTACGCAAAGGTAAACCATGTCGATGTGGTCATCGTTGACGCATATCCCCGTCTAATCACGAATCGCGGGACGAAAAGAAAAAAAAAACACCGAAATTTCACGGCTGTCGGTGTAAATCGTAATTACGTGTGAAAAAATAACCAGAATTTAGTTCTGGGACAAGGCAACCTGTTTACGATGTTTTGAGTTCCCATAATTTTTTTCATCACTCACTGTAGCCTTTTAGCGCACTCCCCGGACGGCAATGGCTATTGCGTAATGAACAATTTTTTTTACCGTGGCGTGACTCGATTGAATCAAATGACTGGAATGTTTAGATGAGCCTTGGAAGATTTCTGGGCATTTATTTCGGTTATTGTTACCAGGTGAGAAATTTCTCAAATTTCTCAATTAGCAAATTTTATTCTTCCACCGGAGATTTTATGGATTTCCAGAGAAATAGATTTTTACTGGCGTAACTTCGGGTTGTTAAGGTCATTATTTATCTAATTATTTGGATTTTGATACTTTGCTTTTCAGGAGCTGCTGTTGAGAAGTGCTGGAGTTGTTCTAGTGAGCAGAACGGTGTTTGTGAACATTTGGATAATGCAACTGCTCTCACGAGGGTTAATTACCTGCGTGATTGTCGTTACTCTGAGTCACCGAATTCATACATAAATACCGAAAAAAGAATCTGCAGGAAGTTCATCTACACCGGTGAGTACTCGCGTTTATTCTGGCTAGCGTAAGTAAATACTTCTGCAATTTCACTGAATTATTCGGAATTATCCGATTCGCTTCGAATTATATCATAATTCTCCCATTCAATCAGTTCTTCTCTGAGGGCACTTCAATTTTTTTTTAATGCCATTATCGTTGAATAGTTTAATTCGCATTATGCATAATTAACGAATTCTCCGCGGTTATCTTCTTTAATGAATGCATCGGTCGTAGGCGGTGGAAACACAAACAAAAAAATACGAAGCCGCGTTAATATTCATTTTGAGAAATGACGCATCTTTGGCATTATTGAGGATAACGACAAAATGGAATACGTTAACTTGTCAGGAAGAGAGACAGTGAATATTCTTGCATTACATTCATACAACCGGAACTCTCTCTCCTCGTCTCGTCAATTTAGAGTGAGTCATACGCGAATTGCAAGTGTGGGTGAATTGAAATAATAAGTCCAGGCAGAGAAGAGCTAGAGGTGTCTCAAGGACAAAGCCCCACCCAATTTGTTTATATTCTGGATTTATAAATTTTTTATTAGTATCT